GTTTAAACAATTCTATTAATTCAATGCATATATATATTTGTTTATATAAGTTTTGCTTTTCAGAGCACAAATATTCCTATGTGTAACTTTGCGCTTAGCAACAAATAAGCATTTTCGAAACGTGCTTATGATTGAATACACCTGCTTTTAAACTCTTTCAAGGAATGGGCAAACACAATCCTATAAGTAATTATTTCTTAATTTATAAATCAATCGCTGTAAAATGCCCCTTCTTAAATGTATTTGACAAACTTTCAAATTCTCCAAAGGGTTTTGTAGTAGTTTATAACCTTTGGGTGATTCCTGCACCTTTAAGTTCTGTTTTACCAAGGGTTCATATTAGTGGCCATGTTGTTGCCCTACGGTTGTTCATCAGTACGTTGGAGAAGTTACATTACTGAAAATTGAGTTCCGATACTCACGGTGGGTAGAGCACAGATAACCAATTCTGTAGCTTTGTGCTTAATATAAAAAAAAAAAGTTGGTAAGTAAGCAGCACTTAAAGTGAGGCGATATGCGCTGGTTTGCATACCAGTAACAAACAAATAAACCAAAAAAATGACGGTATGACATACCAGCAAATAGATAGGTAAATAACAATAATGCTATAGTGCTGCAAACACCCTACCTCCACCTCTATTGTTCCGCACGAAAATACGTTTGGCTTTAGTATTATAGAGCGAGTATGTTTCACCTCAGGTCACTAACCTTATTCTCCGGCAAAACCAACCTGCCCCTCCCCTCCTCTCCAATACAAGCAAACCGGCATCCAAACCACTTTAAGTACTATAAATAAGATATTTTCATCCTGCTTCTTGAGGTCATAGACTAGGAACAAAGGCATTTGTTCATTGTGTGCAAATGAATGTATTAATTTTCTTCTCAGTTTATAATGGTTTAGAAAAGCATTATATAGACAGCCGGTTATGAAAAAAAAATAAAAGTACCAGAACTCCAGCTATCGGGAAGTAATTTGATAGCACTACGTTAGTAATTTATTATTGTCACCTTTTGTTTAGCGAACGTCATATGTAGTACGGTCGATGAACCATAAAAATAAAATCTGTCTGAAAAAACATTGGTGCCAAACTGTATTTGGTACTGGTAGGACCGAAATTTTGTGCTCTTTAGCATATCCAAAATCTGCACTGGGGAAACATCTTTATAAGCAAATTAGCTAAAATTACTTTTTGGAACTTTTTTTCTGCATCCACTGATATGCAAAGTTAGTTTTCTTCTTATTAAGTAAAAAATCATTAATCGTATTCTTCTTCTATCTTTTCTTCCCATTAAGGTGGCCTGAGGGTCGCGGGTTCGAATCCTTGTAATTGAACATGCTTGCCCTTTCAGCCGTGGGAGCGTTATAATGTGACGTCCAATCACACTATTCATTGGTTAAAAGAGTAGTCCAAAAGTTGGCGGTGGGTGGGGATCACTGGCTGCCTTCCCTCTAGTCACTGCTAACTTAGGAACGACTAGCACAGATAGCCCTCGAGTAGCTTTGCGCGAAATTCAAAAGAAATCTAACCTCTCTTGTTAGGTTAAAACCCTGTCAGCTGCATTACCCCACAACTTTGCCACACACTCTTATCTTGTTCCTCTACCATCTCCAGAATTGTTCCTCGATTTCCAATTGCTTGTTCAATATTTTGTCTCCACTTCATCCTTGGTATTCATATGAATGAGCCTTCTTCTGATTGGCAACCACTCCACATACTTCTCCGGATACCTCTCTTTATCCATCCGCTTAACATACCCATAACATCTCAACTGGCTCCTTTCTATAATTTCAGCACCGAATCCACTCCAAGATTTATTATATCTTCTTTCTTATTTTATTTCTATGAGCAACTCCACATATGAGTCTGCTTCAGTCTTTAAAAACAAGTGTTAAATCTAAAATCCCCCAGCAACTAACTAGACCTGTCCAGATTAACCATATTCAAATTGTGAAAATAAATTTCTTCGTGCAAAAAAAAAAGTCAACTTTGTTAAATAATGGTATCGAAGCTGCGATATCAAATATACGTATTGTAGAAAATAGAAGAAAAGTATTTTCGTCTTCGTAGCTCCGTAGGAACCGAGAATAATTTTGACAAATGAAAAGGGTAAGAATGATGGTTTTGGCCTTTGATGGTGTTTTCGTTTTTGCGTTTTTTTTTTACCACTACTTCGCCCCTTTTGATAGATCTTCACCAACTTTTGCATGAAGGTTTGTTGGATCCATGGGGAAGTACATACAAATTTTCAGTTTTACGGTTTGCGGTTTTTATGAGAGTTTTTGCGTTTTTTACCACTACTTCGCCCGCTGTTGATGGATCTACACCAAACTTTTCATGAAGGTTTGTTGGGTTCATGTAACTACTTCGAGGGTGTGGATGGATCTTCTCCAAAATTGGTATGGATGTTCAGGAGATAGATACAAATTTTTAGTTTTGCATTTAGCGGTTTTTGTGGGTGTTTTTTACCACTGAAGATGGATCTTTACCAAATGTTGCATAAGTATTTGTTGGATCCATGCGGAGATATATGCGAATTTGCGGTTTCACATTTTATGTTATGCGGTTTTAATGGGCGTTTTTTACCACTACTTCGCCCCCCTGTTGATAGATCTTCGCCAAATTTGGCATGAAGGTTTGTTGGGTCAATGGGGAGATAAATGCCAATTTGCGGTTTCACATTTTGTGTTTTGCAGTTTTTATTGACGTTTTTGCGTTTTTTACAATTACATATAAGGAAAACAACTTTTCATGTCCTATGATATCCTTTCATTAATCACGAATTTACATAACTTCCGTCCTGGGGACGGGTATTCCAATTAGTATGGAATATTTAATTAGTAAAAAATAAAAAGTATAGTTATATCGAATACGATGTTTTGCTGTTTTTACTCCTACTTTGGGCTACCAAGTGGGAACATATGACGAACAAAACAGTACACAGAAGTTGTTATTGTTGTTTTAGCGCAAATCTACACATTTGGTTATTTGTGTTTCGTCCACCGCGGAGAATCAACCCTCATTGTAAATCCATAAACTTACCATTGACCCACCAGGGGACGTTCATAGAAGACGGTAAAATTTGCTTAATTCGCAGTAATGATGATGTCATAAAAGGGAGGCCGGCCTTCTAGTAATTGACAAAAACCAAATTGTCAGAATAATCTATGATAATCTGTATAAATATGTCAACTTTCATCAAGATTGGATGTTACCTGTGCACTTTTCTTTCATCATTTATGAAATCCATCCCCTAACTCCATGCATACCAAATCTCTATAAACCTATGTGGAATAAGATTAATTAGATAAGTTACATATAATATCTTTCCTCGAAGGAGATTTTGGACATGTTACAGATTTCAAAATTGTGGTTACAACGGCACCAAGAACAGTAAGGTAACAATGTTTTCTAGATCTAACATTTCAACGACCATACTAATGTAAGCACATTTAAATTAATTCTTTCCATTGCTAAACTCCAAACCTTATTTGAAAACTACAATTCCGTAGAATGTGAGATTTGAAACGAGCTTTATATTCTTTAACGCACTGATGAATATACTAAAAGGTTGGATGTTGATAACATTCGCTCAGAATTTATTGGTATCTTTCTCTTTTTTAATGGACTCCAATATATATTTGTCAATGAAAATAGTAAATGCGTTCAAGTATAAATATCTATGTGTTATTGTTCAGAAAAAGTTTAATTACTGTTTATGTTTTTTTTTGTTTCTTACTAAGTACAAAGCTACACAATGCGTTATCTGTCATCTTCCCACAGCAGGTATCGAAACCAGATTGTTAGCGTTATAAGCTGTGAGACTTGCCGCTGAGCCCAATGAGGGGGGTGGGCTACTGTCTAAAATCTTATATTGATTACATAAACAGAAAACTATCAAAGCCCATCGAGGTTTTCTTCATGTTCTTTATTTTTGTTTCTCAGGTTGTACAGAAAGCTAGCGGACGTGAAAACGCCCACGTGTTACAATATGAAGCACTGGAAGCAAAAGATCCTATGTCATCATCTACACATTTGTTAGCGATTACCAGTAGAGTAAACCATCGATTAGGTAATGGTCAAAAACAGTGGGATGATATTAGCTCCGGTAAGTAGTAATACTATAACTGAGATATATCTTTATTATGACATATCCTAGCTTATCTCCGAGGTTTCTACTTGGTATTCACTGTCCAAGAGTGATATAACTTACTCATGAGGCTTCTTTATGATACCCATCAATGTTTTATAATTGGTATTATTTAAAAAAAGTGCATCTTGCCATTTATAATTATTGCTTACGATAATTTAACCTCTTATCAATTACATAAAGAACGTTACTGTAAGGATACTAAACATATCCATTAGTACTAAAATTACCAGTTTGTCTAATGCGTTAAATATAATTTTTGCGTAATTGAGTTGATAGTGTACAATACATAATTTTCAACTATTATTCCTCTTATTAACTAGAAAAAATCATCTAATATTTCAACAAGTACAAAAGTTTCAATTCGAAAAATCTGCTTTTTTAATGCAATAAAAAAATAGAACAAGGTAATACAAGTTGTTTAACTGAATGAATTTATTTAGAATCCTTCATAAGTAACTGAATACAAACATTTTTTAAAGTAAATAAATGAACCTGGTGGTTATGGCGTTGATTTGCAATCTGGGGGTTGCGGATTTGAATCCTCGTCGCCAAACATGCTCGTCCTTTCAACTGTGGGGACATTATAATGTGACGGTCAATCCCACTATTCGTTGGTAAAAGAGTAGCCCAAAAGCTGGTGGTGAGTGACGTTGACTAGCTGCCTTCCGTCTAGACTATCACTGCTAAATTGGGCCCAGCATGGCCAGGTGGTTAGGACGCTCGACTCGCAATCTGCGAGTCGCGAGTTCGCATCCCCGTCCCACCAAACATGCTCGCCCTTTCAGCTGTGGGGGCGTTATA